GCATTTTCTCATTTTGAGAATTTTCAAATTCATACTGCATTTTTCAAATATATTGTCCAATGATCCATTTGGTCATGATTTTTCTTCACTGCATATTATTCATTGCTAATGATAATAATCAGCGGAATTTATTGCCATCCATCATGTCAATTATGGGTATCTGTGTAAACCCATGAGCTCCAAGCCTCGCTTTTATCACATCATATCATTATTCTCTTTCGTACTAACACCTATTCAATGGTGTGTACACATAATTTAGAGAATAGCGAGCTGAGCTATGCCTTAATTGCTCTTTTATATATCAGATTTTCAAGGCACATGTTGTGCCAAGCTCTGGATCCAGATTGAGCAATATCATTATATAGGCAACTTGTGTTGTCGACAACATTTTCATAATTTTCTCCCATATGGCCATATCCATAATAATTCATGGCAATTTCAATTTAACCAGATTATGATCATTTCCCATAAATATTCAGATCTGGTCATTCCGCATCCCAGTATTATAATTCTTTGGTGCACCACTGTATTTCGTCTTTTTAGACGAATGTCTCTTCAAGACATAATTAATCAACATATATATCAATCGATATATATTTGGCAGATAGCGTGTTCCCAATGGCCAATTTTGCCATATATACTTTCGTTTTGGGATAATTTTCACGCTTTTCCTCGTCGTGTACTAGTATTTTCGATGGTAACTTTTACTTTTGAAGTTATAACCACCATAACAATTTTGACCACGACCAGAATTTTTACCACGGTATCTTTTATGACCGTGACCACAACTACAACCCTTTCTCATTATAATATGATACCTCATTCACTTTAGGGAATGAGATTGAACCAGTAGGGCGTGCCTCATGATTTTTCGACAGTAGATCATTATTTTGTTCAGCCACTAGAAGGCATGAAAATTTTCAAGCATATCCTCATCAGTAATAAGTAATAACAACAACTGAGAGCTAATTTTGAGCATAGCAGGATTATATTTGCTCACAGTAAAATCATTGCCTTTGCTTGATATTAAAAATCTACTGAACCTTCAGTTCAGTCAATCTAGTATGTGAATTTTGAAGATCTTTTCATATCATGAAATTTCACGGCATTCAAATTTTCAAAATAATTTGGGCTTAAATCTCCCCCTAATTCCGTGAAATGATCTTCATAAATTATGCAATCAGCGTATCAAATGATCCTCATATCATGGGCTCTAGGTATTTATACAATAGACGGGAATTTATAATCAACATATACACCTAATTTTATTTGATAGCCCATAGAGATACGCAATAATGATGTGATAATAAATAGATTGCATATTAATAAAACACAGATTTTGTGAAATGTTCAATTTTACCACGTACTAGATGTAAGGAGGTCATATTCAAGATATGCAGTATGTCATATTTTGATAAAAATAGTAGTATATCAAATTAGATCTCCCAATATATAATTTCGAAATTTTCATTTACACATGCTTCATAAGGGAGACTACCGTTTGACATATATATACTATGTTCAATAATAGCATTTCAAATCTGACTTATCAATATTTGGTCCAAAATGAACCAATCGTCACATATCAAGTGCTCAAATGTATATGCAATCATATAATGTATATGATCAAATTAACAAAGCATATACATAATTTAAGAGCACAAATTTGGCAAACCAAAGTGGAATTAAAATTCAGGCATATACAATTCTACATTGACTCATAAATTGCCAAAATAGCTTTAATAACAACTAAAGCAATTAAGGTGACTCTATGGTCATCAAAGATTAATAATTTGCCGGTCATATTACCATAGCCAAACAATTTAGTTGGTAATGCATATATATATTCTGATATGCATTATAATGATATTCAAATAATCATATGGACATTAAACGCCAAATAAATTATGAATTGTGAGATCTTTCATGATTTCTAAAATTCATTTTCTCAATTTGTGAGAAATCATCATCATCATTATGATCATATAACCAGGATGATCTAATCGATTGTGCCAAATCTTAAAATTATTCAATTCAGTAAATTTTTTTTTTAGTTTATTATAAGATTGGCTTCAATTGCACTTATTTTTGTGCAACATAAACATGAGAAAAATAAGAAATTTTCCATTACACATTTCTTTCCTGATATTGCCTTTGAAGGAATTTTTGATTCCTTTCCTTTTATAGTCTCAACATGATATTCGTCACTACGAATACAAATTTCTTTGGGACTTCGGAGAGAACAATGCATTTCAATTTTCAATGCATTTTAAATTTTGTTCCTCCAGGCAATAATATATTAGCTCTATCGGAGCTCAATTATTTTTGTACTACCAAACTTTGTAGTAACAATTTCCTCATTCTTTTCAATGTGCATTTACACATCGATTGTATGTGTGGTCACATTATCCACAACACATACATGTTTCTCATTTTTCTTGAATTCAATCAAGAGTGATGATGTATTCATTTGCTTCTTTCAAGCATATAGTCTTTAGGCATCACATGAAAGATCATGACTTACATCCAATCCATATGACATTTGAAAATAGCATATACCAACATAAACATAATTACACATATTTATCCCATGATTTTGATAAGCATATCAAAATAACTTTCATTTATAATATATGGAATATATTCAACATTTATGACCTATAGCAAATATTTATTATGATGATTCACATGATCATATTGCATACGAGAGCAATTTGTGACACAAATAATCGTCATATAATGTTCATAGCACTTATCTTATAAGATGGTGATTTCTAAAGTGCTTGTCACAATATTTTAGATTTCTAATGCTCTCTAAATGTAAGCACAATAGTATGCAAGGACATAGGGCATAATTTATCTAAACTCAAATATCTAATAATGATAATTTTTAAGAGAATATAATTAATGTCTAAATATATAATTAATGCACAAAATAACTATTTGCACATAGTAATCATTATCACATAAATACGTACATGTCATATTAAAATATTAAAAAGAACAAACCTCATCAGAATACGATCAAACTCTGATATGAACTCAATAGTCATTTTCCGTTATGCTCCCTTGCTTAGAGGTTACCGAAGTATGGACAAAAACTCCATAATATTTCAATAAACTGATTCGGTTGTATTTCCATGCCTTATTGGTTCCTTGCTGCCATCAAATAAGCAAATATATTAAATATATATGTATATATACGTGGCTTAATTAGGCTTAAGCAGTAATGCTGGCAGCCATTTTTTTTTTCTTTCTCTTCTATCCTTTCTTTTCATTTTGTTTTTGTTTGAACAAAAGAACAACAGCAACCAAAAGGAGAGAGCTTCCGCCTTAAATGAAGAAGACGGGAAGTCGGCAATGTCGGCGTTGGGAACCAGCTCTACTGCCGTATAGACCCAACTCCATCATCTGCCGGATCTCTCTGCCTTCTCTTTCAGTCCGTCGCCGGCGTCATCCTTTTCCAACGAGGAGCCAAGCCGGATTAGTGAAATCAGAGGTTTCCTCCGTTATAGCCAGCGCCATCAACGGCGTCGCTGAAAAAATCGATCGCCACCTTGCTTTGCCGGTTGCATGGCCTTCATCTCGTTCATGGTGAAATATTGGGATGAAAAATAAATAAACAAACAGAGTTTTACCGGCCGAGAAAGACAATTTATAAAAGAGCACTATCGTGCTGATAATGTGTTGTGAATAATAACAATAACAACACTAATATTATGAAGTAGAAGGGGAACATCAGTACGGATGAGAGAGTTGAGAGAATATGATTAGCTTTTCATATATTCTACATGTACAAGATCATAGTGGAAAGGGGTATTTATAGTGTTGAGATTTAGGAGATAATAAATATTAAATTTGCATAAGATGGACAGGTAGCAAAGCTAGTCTAGTTGGTAGCTGAGGAGGTAGCATTGCTCTGTCATGCTTGAGGTCCTGAGCTCCATTCCCTGCAGTTGCTTCTCGGAACTTGCAATCAGCTTTTTGGAGAATTGTGAACCGCCATATATTTTAACAAAGAGAAGACTTAGCAGCAGGTATAACTTATGGTCAAAGTAGCTGGGTGGAGAAGACTTCATCTTTTATACACAAGGTCAAGGGTTCAAAACTCAACTTGGACATTCACATTTCTTTTTGTTTCATAACACAATAAACTTAATTTAAAATAACATAATAATAGCATAATTAAACTTTTAAAAATAATAAATATTACATTGTATAGTTATATTTATCTACATTTTTAATCAAACTAATTCTGAATTTAAGAACTCAAGTATATTTTTCTGTTTTTACAACCATTATTTTCTTTGCTAATTCAAAAAAATATCAAAAATTTAATTGATAAATTTATTAAATTAATAATAGTAAAACAATTACTAGTTATTTAAAAAAAATAAAGATAATCACATTACTTTAAACATTACCGCCACATAACTTTTAAAGATAATCATATTAAAGGTAATATAAACATTATCAAATTCAAATTACGTAATCTCAGATTACGTGGATCATCTTTTTCAAGCAGACTGTAGCAAGCCAGACTCTCCTCCGGACCGGCGCCGGCGCCTCTGCCTCGAGCTTTTGGTCGATCATCGTCCACTCATAAGTCGTCAGTCGTCGCGCCTTCTTTTTTAATTGCTTGAGCTTCGCCCCTACTCACCTTTGTTTCTGGTTTCCTCCCTCGCGCACAGTGCAATGCATAGCAAATTGACCACATGCGCACGACCTGCTCGATAAAATGCTGAAGAGAGCAATACCAAGAGAAAACTACACTACCACTTTCAGAAGCGAGCTCTCGTAAACGCTAAGGTGAAATGGGTAAAAGACAGTGTCTTAGACGGTGGGACTTGGGAGATAACTCCTAGCTTCTAACACTACATCAAACATGACGATATCGATGAACAATATCAAATTATATTGGTGTTATATATTTTTAAAATATTAAATTAGTTTCAATTTGTAATTGAATAATTATAATTATGTTATTTTTTTTTTACCGGGAATATCAGTCCAAACCCACCATTGATACCAGCAGGTCACAGTTGAATCCACCATTAGCTTGTTCGCAGTTAGCCCAGAGAAGGGGTCGGATTTCATCAGGTACATGTTGTAAATCTGCTATCTTTTTGAAGCTGCGAAAACGAAAAAGAAAAAAAAAAGATTCCAAACCCGATTTTCTTTTTTCGGAACCGAACCCCACGATAACTGCTAAAAAGAAAACCAAAAATAATACTTAAAAGCTTATTCAAAAACATGGAATATTCCCGCACTGACTTCTTCCTTGTTCTAAATTTGCTGGCTGGATATATATGAATCTCTACTCGTCAAAGTTCAAACATCCAGAGAGGGTACATCGTGAAACAATGTCTAGTAATCACTCTTCTCCTCTCCCCTTCATGAATTTCTGTGATTTTTAAAAATGTTCTTTACTTTCCGATCACTTTTGATAAGCTATGTTTCGTTTCACAATTTAAAAACTTTTGCAGCTTCTTGCATTGTGTGATTCTTGAACTTGAGTAAGTTTAACAAGCTCATAATTCTTTTCAACTTTGTAGGTAATACAGATATCAATTTGCCACTGGAGAAACTATCTTTAGGATTAATCCAGCAACATAACCCTCCAATTCCCAAAACAGAGTAAGTTATAATTTGTTCTTTACATAGGTTTTTTAGTTTTCCTTTATTTGTTGATATTTGAAACTATTGAAGTCTCTCATTTGGGATCTAGATGTTTGTTTTGCTTGTTTAATTATAGAAAGATTACATTCTTAAAACTTTGATGTTGTGGCTTGGATAGGTTGAGGGTGAGAAGAAAGAAAGTGGGATAGAAAATGTGAAGGAAAGGAAACTGAATAAGAAAATTTGTGTCCAAATGGAAAGAGAGACTACTATGAGAAAAAGTCATTAAGTCTATTAAAGAAGGCTATCTTTTACCTTTTGTTCCTTTTATAACTAACCTTCTGCCTAATCCTAACGTCTCTCTTTTTCTCTCGTAGGAAAATAACATATGTAGTTCTTGTGTCAACTGGAAGTTTCAACCCTCCTACTTATATGCATTTGCGTTGTTTTGGTAAATAATGTCTTGATCTCAATTGATTTTTTCACTATTGCAATTTTTCTGGGAAGATGATGGAGGAGAGTCATTATTGTACACTTGTACTCTATCTAAAGGGAACTTGCTGTCTTGACTTATTTTTCTCTGCCCTCAACCCTGTAAATTGCACTAAGATTAGCTACAATCGTTTTTCTTTCTTAATGTATCTCACTTATTGCACATCTTTTGGGGATATTCTGGGGATGGACAATCATCTTTGTCTTGTCCTATGTTATAGGAAGATGATGCATGAATCATTATTCTCTGCTATCAACCTAAAAAATTGCACTGGGATTATATTTTCAATCATTCTCTCTAAATGTATACCAATTTAATTGTTCTGTGGCCAGAGCTGGCAAGAGATGCATTGAATTCACAAGGATTTTGTGTAATTGGAGGTTACATGTCACCGGTGAATGATGCATATAAGAAAAAGGTACATAAGCATACAACTAGGTATTCAACATGTTTAGGAATTTTTTTTCTTCTAAACAATTTTCATATGCAACATTGTCATCCGGTCATATGACAAGCTACAACTAGAAAAAACTGTAGTAGCCATTTTTCATAGCCAAACTAACATGGTTTTTGGAAAATGAAATGCATGCCAACTCCTTTTCCTTTCCCTTCTTGGTGTATATATCCATGTTAGGATAGTGTGTTTATAATTATTTCAGCACGCATGTACATACATAGATACACACATATATCTGAATATAGTTATTAAAAAAATGTTAATTACTACTGTACTTGGAACTCTTTTGGTAACTATGCAATATGCTTACTCTCAATAATCAATAGTTCCTCTTTGTTGTTCATTACTTCATTACTTGCCTTTAGTTAGATGTGTTGAGATCTACATTTTTCTCATTACACATGCCTCGGCTGATGACTGCTGTAAATGATCAAATAAAGCAATATATCTCAAGGTTCTTTTCCTTTTGTTTTTTTATAGGGTCTTATATCTGCCAAGCATCGTATTGCAATGTGTCATCTGGCTTGTAAGAGCTCAGACTTTGTGATGGTTGATCCGTGGGAGGTGTGTGCACACCTTTCTTTCTGTCTCTATCCTAAAGCCTTCCATTTTATGTAGGATACTGCTAATCATGTTTCTGCTGTTTATCATGTTAATAACTTTGTGCTAAGACCTGGTGCTATAATAATTTATGATTGGTCTTATAGGCAAGTCAGATTACCTATCAGCGCTCGTTGGCAGTTTTGTCTAGAATCAAGACCTCTTTACTGGACAGTGGATTGGCATCAAGTGGTAGGTTCTGGACTGTATTAAGTTACAGGAAAAAAAAAGAATAAAGCAGAAAAAAAAAATTTGAAGTGATGCTAATTCTTCACTTTTTAGTTTATTTTTCCATATAAGTATTGGCCTCCCCACTCCCAACTTTGCATACCTTGGGTGGGTTTTGTGTTTTGGACTGACAAATTTGGCCTCTATACCCTCTTTGTTGGTCTAGATTTCTTTATACTAATCATGCTACTCTTTTCACATTTAGTTTGTTGATATCTTTAAATTTTCTGATATCATTATTTATTGTTGTTATGATTATTATTATATCTCTACCTGATTGTTATATGCAGATTCCCTCAAGGTCATGCTCTTATGTGGTTCCGATTTGCTAGAATCTTTAAGCACACCAGGGGTTTGGATTCCTGAGCAAGTAAGTTCATTTATCAGGGTTTGTCTTGACACATCATCATACAAATCCCATATCCTATTTTTCAAGAAATACAAGGCAAAAGCATAATACATGTTGTCTATTCACTTTCCAGGTCAGGACAATTTGTAGGGACTTTGGCTTGGTCTGTGTTCGCAGAGATTGTCAGGATGTCGAGAAGATTATTGCTAAGGATGACACCTTAAATGCATATAAGGTAAGAAAGCTTATATGTTAAGTACTTGTGTTGAGTAGTAACAAAACAAAACACTAAGAAAAGCTTTTAGAGTAGAAAACCTTTACGCCCTAAACTAATTTTCTTTCCCAGTTTTTACAAAACTTGAATGAAGCCTTGATGCTAAATACTCGCATTTAAAGGCAGTTTCTGTCACCCTAGAGGGGATAAAGAAAGAGAAGAGGTAAAATAGCACAAAAAATGAGTAAGCTAGTTAGGCATCACTGACATCGTAACATGCAACTTGGCAGACCAACATCAAAGTTGTGGATGAGGTAGTGCCAAATGGGATCAGTTCGACGGGATTGAGGTAAGCTTATTTGGTGTCACTAATCGAATTCTGGTTGAAGACATGAAGTAAAGTAATCTTGTTGGATTTGTTGCAGAGTAACTCACATATTTCTTTTTATTTTTTTATTTTTTTATTTTTTTTATTTTATATTTTCAGGGATTGCATATTGAAAGGGTTGTCAATCAAATATCTGACTGCAGATGAGGTGATTGATTATATAAAGCAGCACAGTCTCTACCAGGAGGTGCAAAATTGAGTTGATTCCCCCTCTGTTCATTAAGTTGCCACACCCCTTGCTATATATATGATGATAAATTCAAGTAATATATACTGTCCACGAACAAATGAGAAGAAAGCCACTCTGTATCAATAAAAATCAATTCTGTTCTAATGCTATTTTGCATCAATTTTGACTGAGAAACCTTGCTCTAATTCAGTAGCTTTTGAATCTAGTAGACTAGAAGAGAAGAATGATTGAAGAGAGAATATACAATAATGGTGTTTCTAATTCCAACTTCCTTTAATATGCCAGACCGAGTGTGCCTGATCTATCAAAATTCACTCAGTCCCTACATACATTTTTCCAGTGAAGTTTCAACTGTCACTAATAATATTTACATTATAACCAGCTTGGTTGGCGTGAGTGGCTGTGCACAATAGGCTGGGAGTTCAAACCCCCTCTCGTATGGAAAAACCAATCTGGCTAGCACTTTGCCTCTTAATTGGGCGGGCCCGGTGCAAATGGGAGATTAGTCTGCGTATGGTACGGGCTTAAAGGTGTCTCCTACAGTTAGGATATGCTCAGGACACCTCATGGTCTAAAAAAAAAAAAAAAAAATTTACAATATCCCTACTGCAACATTACACTGCCATGGCCCTTCTATTTTGTAAGTAGCATTATTCTGGGTTTCCGGCCGTTTGATCGCTTCCGAGATGGGATGGTGCCATTGATGCTGCTGCATCCATGTTTCCTCTTCAACCCATTACTTGAACCCTGAGCTGTTGTTTCAAATTTCACTATGTTGGTTACAATGGCATGGACGAGCACCTCGGTTTTGGGGACCATGATCGCCTCTCTCTCGATGAGTGCCGTCTGCCCACAGCTTGGGTCCGCGATAGCCTCTTCCCTTAGTTTGTCGAAGATCACATTGTTGTCTTCCTTGATGTTATTTACAGAAACCTGTCATTCAGACCCCATCAGCTCAACTGATAAAAAATGCTGCACCATCAAGCATTAAGTTATAACCGCCCACCATAAAATCAACTGGAATCTTGATTTCAGCAGAAACGCATTTGCAACCCTCGCTGAAGTTCAGTTTCATGATGATGTGAAAAGGGTTTGCTGTCTTTACCGTCCTCCTGACAAGAAACATAACTTCAATGAAGGTAACATAATTTAAAAGAACAAAAACTCAAAAGCACAGCAAGGTTCGCGTTGTGTTTGCTCAAGGTTATTAGGTTCTATATGGTCATGTCAGTTCCAACGACGATGAACCTTTAAACTTAACTTATTAGTTTGAGACCCGAGCTGAGTGCCTTCTGAGGATTATACAAAATATCATATTCCCAAACCATGAAATTGCCATCAAGATCTAACATTTCCCAACTTTTGTTCTTCATTTCAAGATAACGTTGTAGCATGGGGCAACTCAACTGATTGGTCAACCAAGTTGGTCAAGCTGTTGACTTGGTAACGACAAGGTTACAATTTCGACTCCCAACGGGAGTGGCCTATTGACCTTCTTTGTTTGAACCGGTCTGCTACGGCAACCTATGCTGGTTTACCTTCTTATGGTCCTTTGCTGGCTAGGATCACAGGGTTTACCCAGTGTACACCCTCGAGTAGTGGTTGCGAGTTTCTCTCGTCACCCAAAAAAATGAGAATTGTAGAACTGGGATTATATTTTGGTTGCTGACATAATTCTATAAAGATCTTTCAGGATTTTATTTTACACCAGAAAAGAAGTCGAGCTACCTTTTAAGATGAAGAGGTTCCTTATGTAGAATAGCCGTTTTCATGTTTTGACTTTCAGAGAAGGAAACCTAGAATACCATTCCAAATGCAGCAAAAAATGTTAGCCTCAAGTAAAACTAGATGGACAATGTGGCGTGTGTGACAATGAGCAAACACGTGACTGTTACCGTAAATGAAAGTCTCTTTACTGACTAGCTAGCCTTATATGAATGAAAACAGTCTTGATAGAAACGGTCAGGTTGCTCATTGGGTGGAGATAGAAGAAATTCCCAGTAAATGAGATAAAGAAGCACAGGGAAAGTAAAACATACAGTTAAAAACTTACCTCCACAGATTTGATAAAAGGCAATGGGGCGTTTTTTCCATGGATGCTTGCTAACTTAAGTGTCCAGTTAACATATTTTTTATCTACAAGATAAACAAGTAAAACCTACTATGAGAAAGAAGCAAATCAATCCTAACCTATGAGTAAACGTTCTGCAATCAGTGTATCACAGTATATCTGGAAATGGAAATCAGATGAGAAAGAATTGAACTTTTACAACCTTCATCTTGAGTGAATATAGCATTTACCTATACTTAGAGCCTGAGTAAAAATAGTCTGGAGAAGATCAATTCTAATAAAAGGTGGGATTCGGAGACTAAGAAAGTCCATGACCCCTGCAATTACCTGTTCATGATCATGCTTGTGAAACTCCTGAGGCTTAATAAATACTATACTGCTTCAGCTCTTAAGAAAATCCGTGCATTTCAATATAAAGTGGGAACCACAATCACATCATGAAATAGAGAGAGAGAAGAGAAAGGGGGGTGGTGGGTGAGGTTTTCCATACAACAATGAAAAATTTTCTTTAATGTAAGAATATTCTGATAGCAAACCCCAGAATCAGAGTTGTAGAGAACGAACAGAATAATGAGAAATATGATACCTTATCTACAAACCCATGAATTACCAAACTAGCTTTCTTGTCCTTTGGGGTTTTCTGTAAAATAAAGGGGTGGTCATAAGAACCTATATAAATGCATAAAAACATTTATATTCGATAGATAGCTTAAAACTTGAAACAAAATAGAAAATTTTAATATCTTTTGGTTATTGTTGAACATGGAATTTTGTTAACTTCACGTGACTGCTGGGCATTTCACTCAACAAAAAGCTGCTTTGTTGCCTTGTTGGCACTCTTGTGTTTCACCATATGCAAAGTTCTAGGTTACAAACATGAGCAAAGTTCTATGCAAAGCTGCTCTGTATTTCATTTTAAGAAATAAGAATAATGAACCAGTGCTTCTTATGAGTATCCAAGATCAGATTAGATCCTGTCAGCTTACTAAATCTGCATTTTAGGTGAAAGCATATAGTCAAGTAAACAGTATATGGTCTGCACATCTTGAAATTTGATACCTTGTGTCACATATAAAACAGTGGAATCCCCAAAACGTTTTCTCAGTCATAAAGGGCATATAGATAGGCAACTGGTTTTTCAGTGTTAGTTGCTAGGCAGAATGGCAAAGATGTCTAAATTATCAGAGAGAGAGAGAGAGAGAGAGAGAGAGAGAGAGAGAGAGAGAGGAAGAGATAGTCAAGAGAAGCTGGAAGTAGCAGTGGAACAATAATGGATGTACCTGAAGATTTACTATTACAATTTTCCCTCCATTCGGGAGACATTTAAGAGGCAAATTACATGCAGGTGTTATCTGCAAACTGCAATGGTAGCAAGAGTCATGAGTATTTAAGATTACAGCAATACAAAACTAAACAGTCACAAGATGTTGCAATTTATGATATCTTTCGACAGAGCATCCTAAGAAAGTGGTTTATGTTCCAGTCAAGTGTTACAAAGTACTGGCCTTGTGTCAGCTTGATTAGATAGCAATGGAACTCAAATTGTCATTTCCGCAAGAACATCATAAAATAAGGAAGCAAAAACAGAATTTCGACATTGGGGTAGACGTGAGAAAATAAAAGCATGGGAAACTGCATCAAGAAAATGAAAGATACTTGTGCATTACCTTGTACCTAAACATAACACTACATCAGCCATTTTGCAATGTCTCTCTGCTGGATTCATCTCCTTTGGTGGCAAGGCATCCTGGAAGAGAGAGGTAGGTGGAAAACAATATATTCTATATTATTTTCTTTCTCAAGATGCTTAAGATTTGAAAAGACAATCTAGTATAATGAGAAGCCTAATTAGCTGTTCGTAAAACAATTTCTCTTTTTTTTTCTTTTTTCTTTTTTTTTTTCATTATGGAAATAAACACATGATTTTCCTTATTGGAGGTGGAAGTAAGGATTTCCATGGAATGCAAAATATACATGAATTATTAAGTGAACCTAACATCTAAAACAGAGTTACTAAAGGGTACAAGACGCAATCCGTTCATAAAAGAAATAGAGTTCCAATACAAAACCACAAATTTTGATAGGAGATTCAATAAAACACACTCCTATTTATTACAAAAGTAACAAAAGTGTAGGAGGTTTGAGGGAAGCTTTTACTCTCTGCAGAGTTGTTTAAGCTTGAAAAATATATTGTCATTACCTCCCAATCAAGAACAGTGTCTCTAAGCCTGGCACCACAGTCTGTGTTTGTACAATTCCGTGCTGTCTCCTTCAGTCCAATAGTTTCTACTTCAAAGTCTCTCATATACCTTTAGATGTCAAATTCATTGAATAAATTCCGAGGAGTGATGAGCATGTGGTATCAAAGGACAAGCACGAGAGCAATGAAAAATGCATAACCAAATTAGTAAAAGATCATTAAAAATTAAAGAGTCACGCAACCTAGAACAGCATGCTAATTATAAGGACAGAAATTGCAAATAAATATTAAGCCTTACTCAACTCCACAAGAAGGACATATTTCCATGAACGAATCTCCATGCAACTCAGAAAGTTTCTCCCTTGGAATACCAGATCGGAGATGGAGGCCATCAATGTTCTAAAATTTCAATAAGTACAAAGCAACAACATATCAAGTTAACAAAAAATGATGAATCTAATCATGATAAGGGCTGGAGAAAGATGTGACCTATAGAAGAACACCAAGTCACCAACCCACCTGGCTAATAAGAAACTTTAGAATGCCAGCCTTCTCTAGTTCAACCAAGGCCATATGTGTCGAGCTTGGCATTGCACGGTGAAAAGGCAATGATGCCTCTGGCAAGGCTTTTCCTTCTTTCTAGAAGTCAAATGAAATGGACATTATACTCGGAACAAGCAACACATATGAAATACTTGTGTCTTAACTGGGAACACTGGAATGCACTGTCTCAAATTTGTCTAATAGGCATACAAGTCACATGCATCCAAAAAATGATGAGAAAACAATATACAAATGGAATTCCAATAAATCAATGCACTCTCAGTTGACTACTACGATTTCTTAAAATAAAGCTTATTCAAGATAAAAATT